CAGTGGCAGCGGTCGGCTACCGGATACCAAACCGGGACCGGTTCTCCGGTTTGCTGCAACTCTCCATTATATACCACCGATGCACATGATTCATAGGCGAAAATAAGACAATAGACACTTTCAAAATGGCCGCCGTTGTCCCCGAAAACCCCCCCCCGAAATTTTTTTCTGGGTACGGCCCTGGCCTCGAGTGATGTTTGTAGAGGAACCTGAGAGCACACAACCCCCCCTCTGCACTTTTACTGCGACACCACCAGAAGGGTTAGGAGAAAGTCGGTTCTTCCTAAAAACCTGGTGACGGCGTAAGACCTGTGTGTGTTTGTCATTCAGATAGGTTTCCTGTAAACAGAGTGCCACAGGATGAAGCTCATCAAGAAAAAAAAAATTAGCGTCGTCAATATTACGAAGAAGGCCGCAACAGTTCCACTGCATGATGCCTAATTGTTTACTCATAGCAGTGCTAAAATTAAAATCAACTTTAACTTATAAACTGCAAAAATGGGTAAAAACGAGTTACTAAGGTTTAAAATCAATTTTTATGCGCAGAGCATTTTTATTTTTCGCGCAATCATTTTGCTTCCCACTAGAGGTAGTGCGAGCAAGCACTACTTTGATCCCGAGAGGATAACCTCGTCGTCGGATCTGAGCCCACACTCTTCCATGGGCTCTTCTGGTGGTGCCGTCAGTTGACCCTTAGGGGCCAACTGCTTCGACTTCTCACCGGGCTTCCTCGAGGCAGTGGTTCGGGGTGGCTGGCCCCGGCCCCGGCGGAGCACAGAGGCAGGGGGGGGCCATCCCCTGCTCGGGGGTGGATGCTGGCGGGCCAGCACCCTCCCTGGGCTTGGGACATGGTGCGGTTGGCACCGTTCCCGTGGGTTTGGATGGGGACTCCGACGAGACCCGCAGATCGTCCGGAGACGTCTGGGTTCCCACTGATGCCGTCACTGGCCGTGCAGGTCCCCTACGGACGACCTCGGCTTATCCGCCTTTCGCCAAGAAAGAAAATGTTTTTAAAGCGCAGCTCTTAGGGGCCCGTTTCCAGCCTGAGCAGCGTCGGCGTAACCGGGGGGTGGTCACGTGACCCCCCCCCCCCCCCCCCCCCCCGAGATCACGTGACCCCCCGAAGTCACGTGATCCCCAAGGTCACGTGACCCCCCCCCCCCCCCCCCCCCCCGGAGATCACGTGACCCCCCTCAGTACGCTTCCCTACTCCTCCTCAAGAGCTGCGCTCCAATTCGGAGTTACAGGGATTTGTAAACGGCTTTCATTTTTTTGCTTCATGGTAGGGATTATTTTCCTTTGCCTTTACAGTAATAACTTCTCTCTCTTGCATCCACAATTTACAGGAGCGGGAGTATGCCGGGTGCGGACCGTCACAGTTGGCGCATTTTGGATTGTTCTCACAAGTGTCAGCAACATGCTCTCTGCTGGAGCACTTGGTGCAAGTGTTGGTTCCCCTACAGCTCCGTGACCTATGGCCGAACCTCTGAGGGTTCGGCACATAGGGCCGCACACGGCACTGTAGGTAGCCAGTCTTCAGAGTTTCTGGTAGTGTGGTCGAATCAAAGGTCAGAATGGCGTGTTTGGTTTTCCCTTCAACACCGTCTCGACGGATGGTGATGCGGCGCTCAGCTACAACCCCTTGCCTAGAAAGGCTCCCAACGATCTCTGCCTCAGATGTTTCAAGTAAGTCATCCTCAGAGATAACTCCCTGTACGGTGTTTAGCTTGCGATGAGGTGTTACGCTGACTTTGTAATCTGCGACAGAGTTCAAAGCTAGGAGAGCTTCACTTTGTTGTTTTGTATTAGTTTCGACAAGAAGGTCACCCGATGTCATCGTTTTGGCATTAAAATTCATTCCAACAATACCTTCAAGCACCTTTGATACGAGAAAGGGGGATAATTTTGCAAGAGGCTTTTCGTCCTCTAAGTGAAGTACTAGAAACTTTGCAAATTTTAAGAATTCACTACGTTGTGCGGGATGGTCTTTTACTTCGGTGCAAACTTTTTTCAGGGTCCGATCAGTGTTTTCTTGCTTAGAACCCATATAGATGGGAAGGGAAGTTTAGTGCCCGGGTGCACCGCCCACCATGGAGCCCAACAAGGGGGTGGGTAATGTGCCATAGCAAGATGGGCTTGGCTGACACAATTACTCTACCAGTGCTGCCCGGGCACTATACACCTTTCCAAAAAGCACTCGACCCCAGGGACCACAATCCGTTTTCGAGCCCAGTCACTGAGTTTGAGGCTAGACTCTCACCGGCGTCCCTCCTAACCCTAACCGAGTGGACTGTGATTTCAATAGGCGCAGCCTGCGTAGGCGCAGTTTCAAACGCTGCTGGCGGCTAAATTCTCGTTTTTCCCCGCAATATTTTGTTTCATTGTACATGTATTTTCCCGAGGGCATTGAGAAAGCATTGTGTCACACTAAAAAAAAAAAAAAAAAAAAACTAAACTGTTTTTGTTGGGTACGCGCGCGACAGAACGAGTGCGACTGGAATGTATAGTTCTAGTTATGTTTTTTTCTTACGATCAGTTTTGACATCGCCGCGAAATTCGCCGGATGTGAAGCGACAAAGCGCTTTGCTGTCAAAAATAAATTGCAACAGAAGACGGCCGAAAGGCGTGCATTTTTCACGCTCACAAATAACATGTTTACCGATGGACAGGACACGGACATACGATTGGGAAGTGGTAACATTACAACAATATATCGTACATACCACACGATGCAGCGTTATCCAAAAAGAATTTATTTGAGAAAGATCTCAAATAACACAGTCACAGTCGACGACAGTCACATCTTGACGACCGGACGGAATCCGAGATGACTTCGTTTGGGGCACGTTTCGGGGAGAGCTTCCTTTTTTTCACAACCGCACCAAGGCAAAGAAACAAACGCGACTGATCCGTTTCTCCCCCCAACCCGGGCAACTATTTTTGGAGATGACTGAGGATTCAACGCGGATTATCTCTGGGAGGGGGGAGAACAATGTTCGCAAAATCGCGTCGAGGGTCGTTCGATGTCCTTCACCTGCTTCGTTTCCCGTGAATGTCGAGCAGAAAAGCTTGAATGACAGGCACTTACCAGCCTTATTTCTCACAATGGAAGATAACACAAGAAGGGTACGCAGCACGCATAAAAAAAATGTAGTGGAAACTTTCAAGAGAGCGAGAAAACGTCGAATGCAAAACGGCTAAAATGCATGTAGAGAACCGCGCTGAGCGGGTCTTCACAGTCCCAGAGAGTGGCAGAAAACTTCTAGCTGATAGAGGGCGCGAGAGTCGCACCAGCCGCATCAGCATCAGCAACATGGCGGCGGCCTAGGAGCGTTTTTTGGAAAGGTGTATACCCTAGTGTGGTTGCAGGGACAGGACCTGTTTCCACTCAAGGTTGGCCCTTGCCGCCTAAGAAAGATAAAAAGGAAGAGAGGTAGAAAAAGAGAAAAAGAGGTGGAAGGAAAAGTGAAAGAAGGAAAAAGAGGGTAGAAAGGGCGATTGACTGAATCATCCAGGTCGGGCCAAGCCAGGACACCCGTCGACGAGAAGCAGGGGCCGAAGCAGTGTATTGCCTCGCCCGGGGGGCCTCGAAGGGTCCAAACATACCCCGGGCTCAGCTCAACCACCAGGGTGCCCCCCCGCATGCAGGTATGGTGGCCCACGTGGCTGGGGTCCATGGTTACGCTACTCACCAAGCACCTAGCACCTAAGGTGCAGGCGTCCCCTGCGGGGCTCGGGGTCGGTGGAGACGCCATTCTCCAAACACCTGCTTTCACAGGTGCCCCCTGCGGGGAGCGTGGCCGTGAGGCTCGACACTGATTGGTTGACGGGTGGGAAAGGAGTAGTGAGTAGCCCAACTCTGATTGGTTGATGGGGAGGTCATGTGACCGGAGGGGTAGGCGAGGAGGAGCTCAACCACCTGTGCGCACAAAGGGAGACGAGCTTGCGAGTGAGTATGGAAGGCTCTGGAAGATCAGCAGCTTTATCAGCCCGATTAGCGGCAGTATCGCTTCCTTCCAGGAACAACTATCAAGGGTACACATGGTAGGCGTTAATCTATCTGATGAAGAGCGCCGTGAATGCTGGCACCTGACGTCTGAAAACGCGGAGGATCGCCAAACATTTGTGATGCTAGAACGTTTCACATATGCAACACAACTGCCTAGCAATTTGCCGGAAATAGTTTTTACTTTTCACTCGGGTAAGTTTGTTCTTTTAAATTTTTATGCGACACCTCCACCATCCTCGGGCACCTTTGTGGTAAATCGTAGCGCGATACTTACCGAGCCAATTTATGCGGTCCTTTTAAGGGCTTCCCTCGGATTCGTGGGCACGCCGCAGCAGCAATGGTTTAACCTAGAGTCACTATAGGTGCTATGCCTAGAGCGTCTGCCCTCTATTCCTAGACCATCCTGCGGGCGCCAGCATTCCGCTTTTTAGTGCAAAGCGAGTGCCATCAGCGATCGTCACAAGTCGAAAATGCGACTTTCCAAGCTTTAATACGGCGTTGCGACGGTATGGCAACATTGTGCTGGTCGGTTGCGGTGTCTGTTTCATAATTTTTGAAGGAGGGAGAGCCGGTTACGGCAACCAACAAAGAAGGTTCAGATGACCGGCAACGGTGCTTTTAGGTGCCGAGATGGCAAGAGCGTTGTGTCTCACAAGCGTTGCATCAGTGCCTGGAAAATGTCTTTGACCCGTGCTTCTACCGACCTCTCCTGCCCATTCTTCTATGGTCGAAAAAAACCCCGAGGCTGCAGGTAAACGACACAACACTAGAAAGTCTTTACCCGCAGTTTCGGGGTTTTTTCAACCATGTGCAATGTACACAAGCTCGTTTGCGCCCTTTCATTTTGTTCATTCTTCTATGTTTTTTTGTTTTTTTTACTCGCTGAACGTCTCACTTTTTTTCGTCCCCCCCTTAACGAGATGTGGGAACTTTGCGGCCGGGGACAGGTGTAAACGAGAGGTGTACGGCGGCTCTCGTCAAGCGTCCTTACCGGAGCATGTTGTATGCGATGGTGCAGCGCAGGCTGGTCGGCCCGAACTGGTCCAGGTTGCGGTGATGCAGGCTGCCCCTGGTGAGCCCCAGGCAGACGTAGACCGCCTCCTCGCCGATGTTGAGCACCACCTCGAGGTCGAAGTGCTTCATGTCCACGCCCCAGTGGAAGGCGTCGTTCACGGCGCCCCCGAAGATGGCCGCCGCCTCCATCGACGTGAACTTGTGCGCCTGCCCCGCCCTGTTGCACGTCACCCGAAACTTGGGTCGCCGCTCCGGGTCCCCCTCGCCCCCGCCGTCCCGCTGCCGGAAGAAGTCCTCCAGAGAGAACTTGTCGACGCCACCCACCAGACGGCGCCACACCTCCAGGCCCGTGACCCAGTGTACCTGCGTGGCAACAAATTTTTCTTTTTTTCTTTCTTTCGTAATTGTAACTGAAAAACTACTGGGCCGAGGCAATGCGAGACACACGGCACAACCTATAAAAATCATATTTTGCAACAGGCTTAAGCTGAGCTAGTTGGTTCATGCTTATTTATTTACTTATTTGTCTTGTGTCCAGAAACAGCCAAGGTCTTAGTACTGGTACACACTCACGTACAACATACTTTAAAAAGAAAAAGAAAACACATACACATAATGGCAGAACACATATAAAACCCGAACACTGATGTTAGCAAATGTGAATGGTTAGTGCACTTTTAAACTCCCACTCACTCCCGAAAACGTCAACCACCGCGCTCAGTGCATCAAAATTGCTCTGAATTCGTAAAATTGGGGAAAATGAACATAAGTCTTGCACATAAAACGTGTTGTGGTGTCGACAGTTTACTCGAGGAACATGTATAGAAAGCAGAGAAACATGCCTTGGGCAACATAATCTACTATGCAGATTTATACAAAAAATACATAATCACGAAAACTGTGACGGGCCTCCAGTGATTGCAAGTTTAGTCAATCTAACATTGACTCGTAGCCAAAAAAAACAAAAAAACAAACGCCGGCCGCAATAACAGTCATAAACAATGCATGCCAACTTTCTCTGCACACGTTCTAGGCCATCAGAGTTGGTCACACCCAGACAGTTCCAAACTACAGAGCCAAACTCCAGTTTTGAGCGCACAATCGATCTGTAAAGCCTGACGAGACAGGACGGCTCTTTAGAATGACGGGTAATACGTGAAAACAAGCCTCAAAGTCGCAAGCGAGAGCTAATCAGATTTGACACATAATTTGTAAAACTAAGGGATGAGTCAATATACACTCCTAAGTCACGCACGCAATATTCGTGCCACAATGGTTGATTGTCCAGCTTATACAAAGAATCAGGTGCACAATTCTTCCTTGATAAGGTGATAACACATTTTTTTGCCGTTTAGACATACCTAATTTATTTTGAAGACACCATGATGAAATAGCAGTAATATCCTACTGTAGCAGAACACAATCAACATATGATTTTATCTGTTCGAAGATCTTAATATCACCAGCGAACTGCAGCAGATTTTACGCAAAGAGAGACATCGTTGGCAAAAAATATTAAACAGCAAAAGTCCTAAAATAGAACCCTGAGGAACGTTGGATGACGATATGTATGATCTCGACAACACACCGTTAACACAAACATTGTTAATGCGCCCGGACAGATATGACTGAAACCAACATAATGGCAAACACATTCCATATTCTGATAAAGACCCGTTCACACTCTTGCAACTGAGTACGACAGAGAAAGACCAGACCGGTTTTTAAGCCTCTTGCGACCTCTTAGGACCGGATGCACTGCAGAGGAGCTGGTCCTAAGAGGTCGCAAGAGGCTTAAAATCCGGTCTGGTCTCTCTCGGTCGTACTGGGTTGCAAGAGTGTGAACGGACCTTAATTTGTGCAGTAATAAGTTATGGTGCAGAAGGTTAAAGGCTTTACTCAAGTCAAAATAAATGGCGTGGACCTGCCCATGGTTGGCAACAATGGGGCCAACGTTACTCATATACTCAGGTAAGTTAGTTTCAACACTTTTAGATTTAACAAAACCATGTTGAGATTCATTTAATATTTCTTTGAAATAGCTAGAAAAGCACACTTCTACCACAATCTCAAACAGTTTCGAGAATGCGGTTAGTAAGGAAACGGGTCTATAATTTCTAACATCTGCAGAGTCCCCGGATTCGAAAATAGGCACCACAATGGCTGACTTCCACTTGTTTGGGAAAATACAGTTTTGAATTGACAAGTCAAAAAGGTAGGTCAAGACTGGCACAAACACATCAGAGCAACCTGTAACAATAAACGCTGGTACGCTATCAAAACCCGACTTGAGGTAAGGCCAGCTGAACTAGAATAAACATGCGCCTAAAGAAAAGACCACACCAGCAGTGTGTATGGTCTTTTCTTAATGTGTATCTTCAATCTAGTTCAGCTGGACTTGCCTGACGTATTTTGCACTTGCGAGCACATAAAGTTTCAGAGGCAGTTGGTTTCTATCATTTTTAACAATGATAACTTTTATTAGCGAAAGTAGCAGTGCTCCAGGTGGCTTGCAAGGCTAGACGGGTAGGTAGGGGCCGGCACGCACGAGCGTCCGCTGGCTAGCCAACCGGAGTAATGAAATTAAAATAACGAACGGGCAACAAAGGGGAAAACGATGCGAATGATGCGACGAACAGGGTAGAGTCAACAGCTCCAAGAAACTTTGTGCAGCTCGCCCAAACCCCGACGGCCTGGAGAGCGGGCAGACGCAGAGCACAAGCCGGACCTGTGTTCGGCCTGTGCTCTGGGACCCGTGTCCTGTCGGCGCCAACACAAGTCCCAGCCAAACACCGGCACCGCACCCGCAACATCCGGCCGGATACGGTGCAAAACCCCGAAGATCGTGGCCCAGACTGGGAGTACCCAGGAGGCACCACTGGGCACACCTCAATGCTGTCGGCAGTGTGAGAAAGCACGACGAGGGGCGGCCAGGTCGGTCCATTTTCGAGGCAAAGGAGAGTGAATTGGCGGTGGAGCTGTGAGGGAGCTTTCGAGGGCGTCGAGGAGCACAGTGACCATGGCAGACACTGCGGGCATGTCGTAGCATGGGTTAAAATCATTGCTCGTTTGTTCTTACCAATAAGCACATCCAAGTACCGTCTGTAGAGTCATCCAACACCCTGTGGAGGAGGCGACTTGCAGCGCAAACACGTCAATCTTGCGGAGGTTGCCATTTAAGAGCCCTTAAGAGTGATTGAAATGAACACATTTTTGAGCGTGTGTAGGCCGTGCGGTTTCCGGAAATTGCATATTTCGTGACGTCACGCTGATTTTGTGCGCCTTCCGGGCACGCATAAGAAAGTTGGATGATTTCAACTTTTTCTTAAGAAAACGCACTGTGACGTAGTAGGGTGCTCCTCCCCCCTGCCAATTGGCAGAGGGCACTAGTTCCGGCTTCGCCGTCAGGCGCAGATGCTCTCCGCTCGCCCGAAGCCACACCGTCCCAACCAACGCGCATAATTGCGACTCAGAAAGTGCACCGAAAAAAGCAAAAACGCCACAAAATACATAATTTCCGGGTAATGCACGGCCTACGCGCGCTCGAAAACGCGTTGGTTTTGATCGCGCTTTAGATGGTCTTTGTAGGGCGGCCTAGGCTCCCGTTGACTGAAAAGGCACGAGTGGCAGTCCGAACAGCACGCCGCTGGACTACCTTGAGCTTGGTGATGAGGTGGGCCTGGGACACTGACCAAATGTTACAGCAGTACACTAACCTGGGCGGGACTAGAATGGTGTGGAGCGTGCCAAAAAAACTTCAGGACCACACAATCTCGATGTGCGAGTCACAAAGCCTAAGGTGCGGCGGGCTGTCGACACTGTGTTGGCAATTTTCAGCAAAAAGTTTAGTGAGTGGGTAAGGGTAACACCAAGAATAAGAAGAGATGGGACAACCTCAACCGGACACCCTGCAAGATTGCATGTGGGGCAGGCGACGCTTCTCCAGTTGCTGACGCGCATGGCAGCACCTTTCTGGCTACTTATACTTGGGTGGTTGGAATGGGCCCAGTAAACGAGTTGTCGGTGTCTCTGGTGGTCAGCAAAAGAGAAAGGACGTGACATTGGGGCCAATGCTATGGCGTCATCGTCATATTGCACAAGCGTGGATACCAGCAGAGCTCTGTATGTCGTTAACATAGATTAGGAACAATGTTGGCCCAAGGACAGGGCCCTGTGAGACCCTTGAAGGGAAAGGAAGGTCCTCCGACAAATGCTTACGCAACAGCACACGGTAAAGACCCATTCACACACTTGAAACTTCTTGGGACCGAGTGCCTCGAAACCTAGGACACACTGGTGTCATCTATCAGGTAGTGATGGAAACTTGGCGGTCCCGTAACGCATCATTCTTTCTTTTCTGGCTTGAAAAACTTTTGTGAATTTTATAAATAGGGTTCCGCGTTTTCGGTTTTTATTTTTTCAAAATTCGGCGTACTTTTTTGGTGTTTATTTTAAAATTCAATTTGCGGCTTTTTTCGGTGTATATTTATTCCCAAAAAAGTTTACCGTTTTTTTTCGGTGAATATGAAAGAAACATAATTGGACTCCGGATCAGATGATCCTTGTAGCTGTGATATTTGTGATCACTCAAAGAATTACGACACATATACATGCGTCGTCTTCGCTACAACTTCCGTCAGGACACACCTCAAGATCGTGGAATTCGCGGGCATAATCTTCAGCGCGCTTCTTTGTCCTTCTCGTCTGAGGTGATGACCGTACAATGACCAGCGGAATGGCACAAAAAAAAAAGAAAAAAAATTCATTGTATTTATGTTTTTAATCACAGGGAAGCTTGAGAGAAGGTGTTAAGAAAGGTATTAACGGCTTCCCTCGATGACCTCTGAAGTGCCATGAAGCGAAAAACCTTATACTAGCCCACATCCGCAATTTTTGTTTTTAGGACCGGGAACTTGACACACTAGATAAGCCCGATCACAGAAAGGACACAGATGTCCGCGAAGGCCAATCCAAGACCTCTTTTGTTGCATGTTCAGCCCTCGAAGAGGGCAATTACGAAGGCGTCACACAATGTCGAACCCTGCAAAGCCCTCCCTCTCTCTCTCTCGCCGCCCTCCCCAACTGTACTTTTATCGGTTTAAAACGAAAATGCCGAACCTACAAACTGACCTTTTTCGGTTAAAACCGAATTTCGGAAAATGGATTCGGCGTACTTTTATCGGTTTAAACCGAAAACTCCGAACCCTAGTTATAAACTATCACTTCCAATAGTATGCACATTTAATCTTGAAAATGCCGCAAAACCTTCGCTCCAGTGAAATGCAATTCCAGGGTCACCACATAGATAGTGCCAGAGTGCACTCTCTTTGTAATAGATGCGTCTAACTTGAGCGACAAACAGCAACAAACAACAGCTACACACGACACCGACAGACAGCCTGTTTGTCTGAGTCCACCGTCCCACCTGGCAGACATGACGCAAAACACGGTGACAAGGAAACTTGTTCCCTAGTGGCACTGCAGTTGTTAACAAAACACCTCAAAATACACAGAGAGACAGAGTCTGGCGATGCGGTTTTCGTGTTTTGCTCTTTGGGCATAAAACGCGCCAACAAAGACGGCAGAATCAGAGAAGATTACTTTATTTCTTGATTAAAGCTTACGCTTGTCTTCAATTGCCGTTGGCGACTTTCCACAAACAGTCGTGACAACCGACACCAAACTTTTTTCGAACCAGAATTCCCGAATCGTTTATTTCTTGGGCCTTTGAGGCATTCTAAGTGAGTGCCACGGAATTTTGCGCCGATTTTGAGGATGTTTTTAGCTTTGTATTTGAATGATCAGGGGCAGGCATTTTTTAAGGGACAATATGGCATCCCAATTATCACAGAACGTGATGACAAGTCTCTCGTCTGCCAGAATGGCTTGCCGCGGAACGTCGTCTCCAACTTCGTGGTGAGCGGTCTTACTTTGGTCAGTCCTCGAACATGGGAGTATCCATCCTGATGCAGAGGCATAGACCTCAGCGTATTGAAGCACCACCTCGCACAGCAAGTTTTCGCGAGCAAAACCAGCCACAGCAAATTTCCATTCGGAACAAGATCGCCAGCAAGCAAGCCACGCCAGCGACCACTACGAAAAATCGAGGGACCGGAACGGCAGGAACGGCCAGCGGCCGCCAAGGACTTCTCCAAAGGCCAAGCAGCGGAGCGAGCCACGGGAGGAACGGGAGGAAGGGTGGGAAGAGAGGCAACAGAAGGTACAAGCGGGCGAGGAGGATAAGTTCGTCTCTGACAGATGTTCCTCAGTAGGACTGCTTGCTGTCCAACGACAGACAAGAACTCGTTTGTCGTCGATCGTTTGTCGGCGCTTGTCGGTGTTTGCTGCGGGTGTTGGTCGTTGCAGTGGGAGAGCATCAGCGACACGGAACTTTGTGGTGTTGCCAGACAAAAATCGGTGTTTGTCGCTCTAGCGGGATGAGGCTATAAGAGATTTTAAGAGGTTTTAAGGCACTCGGCTCCAAGGAATCGCAAGTGTGTGAACAGGCACTGTAAGAGCATTTTGTGATGAAACAACGTACCCAGAGCAGGAGAAAGCCACATACACCCTAACGGGAAACCTTCTGAAGGAGGATAGTGTGATCAAGGGTGTCGAAGGCATTCCGTAGATCCAGCTGGATAGTGTCAGTGGATATAAGGTTGTCTAGGTTCGAGTTCACGTAGTGAGCCACAGTGGTTAGAGCGATCTCAAGTTTTTCTTTTTTTTTTGGGGGGGGGGGGGGGGGGGGGGGGGGGGGGGGGGGGGGGCAATAGGCACAGCCGAGTAGGATTGATTCTAAGACTGCCTTGAGGTCGGGAAATTCCAGGTCAATCCTGCGGGTGCACCCAAATCGCAATGGGACGACAAATGAGACACCTCCACCAGGGCTGCCGCTGTCCTTCTGGATAACAGAGAGCGAGGAGAGATCCATTTGAGCTCTGTGTCGTGCGCTCGGGTCCAGCCACGTTTATGTGAGCACTACGCAAGTTTTAGGCAAGAGACGTGACGGTAGCACGGAGCTCAATGACCTATCTTCTCCTGCGCTCCGACAGTTTGTACACCATGGATGCCTGAAACTGCGGAGCTTGGTCATAGCGAAAAGGAGGGCGGGATTAACAATGCAGTCGGGTCGACGCCCGAAGGACCGACGCAATGCATTGAATGGCTCAAAGAATGAGTCGTTAAAGGGGGGCAGCTGACAGGCGCTACAAAACCAACCCTCCATTGACATTGACAGAAGCCGGTACGCGGGAAAAGACAAGAGTTTTTGTTTATGGTGCACCCACCAACCACAGCCGTCCCACTGTAGGACCGCCACATTGTCGGACCCCGCTCTGTCACAGCAGCTGCGGCTAGGCCGGGACGGTCGACGCCTGGGACCAGGGTTGGAGGTGATGTCCCCAGAGAGGAGGAGGAAACCGGCGTGAGTATTCTTGCAGGCATCTTGCGCAACAGTCGGTTAGAGGAATCGGACACCGACGATCGAGAACATCATTGGAAAGAAATCCTTCCGGAGCCCCACAACAAAGCGCGTCAAAGACGCCATCTCGTTTCATGCAAGCCCCAGGCTCGTGTGAACAGAGCTGGCTGCAAAACATCGGCGATAAGGCTCCCAACATCCCGAGGATTTTTATGCCGTGCTCGATGTCCTAAATCGAATGTACAGCGATGCAGGTCCCAATGCAAAAGCACCAGAATCTATGAAAAGATGTGCGATTGGGAAAACATCTGAATAATTTGTAATATTTTATCCAGTGATCCCGGTGTTTCTCAGGCATTTGAGATTTCTCGGAGATTATGATTTAATTTTCTTTGCTCTGCTATCATCGAGGTAGCCTACAAGGCAACCAATGAACAACCTCTAATGCTGATCTTCGGCAGGAGCAGTGCTAAGCATCACAAGAGACGGGGAGGAGGGAGGCAGGCCCATACCTTGTCCACCAGTGAGGTAAGCGCAGGCGTCAGGTCATCCTTACTAGCTGGCAGGGGATTGTCCTTGAAGGTGTCTAGGACCACAAACAAGTTGTCAATGCCCTGCAACTTCCACACCTGAAAGCAGGGCATGAAGCACCATTAAAAATACGAGTTTCCGAAACACTCCCCGCAAGTAGACGCCTCGTTTACTTGCGGGGAGCGTTTTATGAGGTTTTAGCTAAAAGACGAGGCCGTGTTTCTGCAGTGTTTTACTGCAGACTACATTGAAATGTGGTTGCATTGCCTGTCTTACATGCAGGAAAAAGTAGTGCCCCACTCCTTGTAGCACAATCTTTTACCGGCTTCTCGTTCCTCAATACAACCTAAATTCATGGGAAACCAAACTCTGCTTCTCTATCCCTAGCAAAATGACAAACCCTCTTCTACAGCATCTCTTTGGCACGTTAAGCAAGGTTGCTGCTTTACGCAGCTATCCCTTCTTCAGTCTGCTCTTTCTCTTGAGAACACTCTGACGACCGCAGCACATCCAGCGAGTGCCTCGTCCCGCCGCTTTTACGGTAAGGTGTGGAAAACGGCACATGCTCCGCACCCTCACGTGACCCGCACACGCGCGCGACAAGGAGAGAAGACACCTGCACCGAAGCGCAATATACTGATTGGACCGTCTGACTACTTCGTTTCAGCTTAAGTACAGACGCAACCGACGCTACAAGCGCGAGCTCCGGGCTTTCAGCGTCCCTGTCGAGCATGCGCGGGCGCTCGTGCAGTGGATGCACTGTTCAGGGCCACATGCTCGCGCTTGTAGCATCGGCTGCGTCTGCACTTAAGCTGAAACGAAGTATAATTGCACACGAGAACAAAGCGAGAACCCTCCAGCCCCCTCCCATCTTTCCGCCCCATTAACGTTCAATCGGACGCCATTGCCCAATCAGCGCGTCTGTCAAAGTGAAGAGCATGTCGGCGTTTCTGCTCTCTTCACAACGCTTTCTCTCTCTCTGCCCTACGGTTTCCAGCGCAGTTTTGGGTTCGCATGGAACTTCTAAACGTGAGTAATGCGTCGCGTTCTATCCCGAACAGCAGTAGAAGAACGAAAAGATATAACATCTGTTTAGCGAGGCTGCGCGATGCGTTCGCGAGGTGACGGAACCAAAACCGCAAGCTGGCAGATGTGACAGAGGAGCCGGCGTGCTCCACTCACCTCGCCGACTCGGTCGACCGGCAGCTCGAAAAATATCCGGCCTCTGGCGGTTTCAGGTTGGGCGCCGAGTTTGCTCCAACATTCGTCCTTGGCGATGTGCTCAAGACCCGTCACGACCGTCGCCTCTATGCGGCATGTGGGGTTAAACTCGTACACCTTGCCCACGGGTTTCTCGCGCTCGTCAGATTCCGCCATTTTTTTATTTTTCCCGGATTGGATTGGATCGCGGGTCATGCTACTGTAAGTACGTTTTTAGATTTCGCCAGTCTTTCCGGCTTCCAGTAAAATCTGATTCGAAACCACCAAAAGTTTCATTTACCACGTCGACGGCGAAGCTTGAGCTTTCAACACGACTCGTGCGGCATTGTCCGTGCTTTTAATTTTCACGTCTTGGATGTCAAGTGTAATCTCTCATGTGGTGTAAGAACCAGGAAAGGGGGGAGGGGGGGGGGGGGGGGGGCGCACTTGTTTGTAGTAGTTTCAAACTTGATCAACAATAAAAAACATACAAAAACCACCCCTTTCGCTTTATTTCTCCATTTTCGCAAGTTCCCATTTTCATCTGACTCTCGATTTGAATGTCGCACATATTCAAGTCCTTCAGAGCTTTTCTCTCTGGCGAAAAAGAAAATGTGTTGAGAAATGAGGGAGTGGAGGAGATGAGGGCGAGCGGGGTCGTCGGAAGGTCGAGCTCTGGTTGGAATGAGTGGTGGGCAGACCGTAGACTGCACTCCTCGAACGCGTTAGGACGCAGAACGGTGGGGTCCGTAACGATGCTGTTTAGAGGAAGATCACACTTTAAAAAATGAATACGTCACACTGATTCGGGGGCCACTGAAAGAATTGTTTTTATATTTTAACCCCCTACTTACGGTGGGCGCCGTAAATGGCACACACAAGTTGACAATGTATAACTACTATAGTGTTTTTTCGTCAAACTGCATGCGGATCTAGATATGGCACAAAGTTCCACTTGCAATGCCAGGCAATTGGCTCCCCATCGTTTCGGTTTTAGTTAACCGCTCAGATTGACTTTCTACTAGTTGCCATGCTTAATTGCAGATATAAAAGATTCTGCTAAAAAAAGCGCTAAAAATACAAGGACGAGGAACTAGACATAGTACATGAGCGTCTCTCTGCTTCCTTGTCCTTGTATTTTTAGCGCTTTTTCTAGGTGATCATGGAACAACTGGCCCAAATTTCTACCTTAATAAAAGGTTCTGCTTGTGTAACTTACTGCAGTAATTCAGGAGCTGTTTCGCGTTTTAAATGGCCCTGGCAAAAAAGAAAAAAAAAATGTTAATTTGTATTATATATTTATTTTACACTATGTCGGTTTGAGTATGTTCCAGATGTGGCACGGCATGCAGTCTTCTCTAGAGATGGTAAAATAAGGCAATAACACTTACAATCAGTCAAAATTTCCTACAGTTACCTCCGGGGCAAAATCCTTGACTGTGTGAAGGGGCTTTACAAAATCTCAACCAGGAGAAGGAGTAGCATTTTATGTCCGAAGTGACTAACTGCAGCTGCGGTGCCTAAAGCCGTAGAATCCTGCACGAAGGAATATAATTTCCGCTTCTATTTTTTTCCCCTTTATTTATTTCAAATACTGCCAACCTTTACAGATTATTGCTGGTGGTGGTTCCAACAGTGTATTCGTCTCTAGAAAACACAAGAAGTTATACTTAAAGAAAATAAATAATTGCATTGACTTAGTAAAATGAACATACAGCAATAAAGCAAAAACTAGGTATAATAATAAACGCAATTACGCAACAGGGAGCAAATTAAGTTTTCCTTCAAACGCCTCTGAAGAAAAAAAACAACAATAAAAAAGTCAGAAAACACACTTTGAGGTCGCATATTCCAGGGATAAAGGAAGGCAACATGAACGCCAAAAAGGACGTCCTTTTGCCGCTCATGTTGCCTTCCTTTTTTCCCGTAACTTTACCAGCACGCTCTAATTTGTCCAACTTATTCCAATCTTCGATAGTTTTCGCGAGAAAAGACTGTTTGTGAACGTTGATGTTTGGCATGTAAGGGTAATCGAAAATTAATTATTTAAATGCCGAGATCACCTTTCAGACGCTTTTATGTAATATTTTGTGTCAACGATGACATAATTGAAATACAAGTAAAAAAAAATAATGGATCTATTTACGCCTTGCTGCTGAAGGCCATATAGCTTTCCTTTTTTCAGCAAAGCCGTGACAGACTTGAGCCTAGCCATCTAGAAAAAATAAATCTGGTTACCAGACTTTCAATGCGCCCTTGTTCGTCTAATTGAGTTTATGAATAGAGATTCGGCCGTGATTCAATTTGCCAAACCAGACAGAACAATTCTTTGGGTGCAGGCGAAAAATTCTATAATACTTTTTGTCCAAAACAAAAACAGAGCACTTTTTTTATGTCATATATACTACATTCTACGATAAACAGTTTTCAAGTTTATTGGTCATTCACATGACTAATAAACTTGAAAAAGAATTCGGCTACACGAGAGTAGAGATATTTTGATTTAATATATGCTTCACGTAAAACTACAACAAATTGTGCGATATATAACTTTCTAAAGACAATCGCATTTCCAAAGGAAGCTACAAAAATCTATTTTGCAATGCTTGTATCACAGAAGGAAGCAAGGGTACCTCAAATCTACCCTCTAGCAAAGACGACTGCCGGATGTTTAACCAGCTCTGCCTGTAAAGAAAGCAGTACCCGGTCTTTCTGGAAGCGTATTACACGTTATGCGCCAAATTTACTTCGAAGCAGAGTGCGCACGTTACACCGCACCTTACTCTCGCAGTCTTTCTTTGGATTTCATTGGGAGGGGGATAGCGCGAACGCAGTCCCCCACTACCAAAAATTGCATGCCCCATCTGTCCCAGTTTGGGATAGTGGCAGGGGTCAGCACGGCCGAGGTGCAATGGCCGCGCCTCTCCCTGGAGGCACCTCCTCGCTGATCAAGGTAGCCCCGGCACCAGGTAAGTATGATTGTGCTAGCCTCAAAATTCCGCCGACATCAACACGTGACACCCATTAGGCTTGGTGACCATTGGCGTTCGGCTAACTTAATAGACCACACTGATTTCAATCCTTCGCATATTACTGAGCAGGACAGTTTTCGAGCAGGCTATGGGTCGATCTGTTATGGCAATTCAAGGCTACAAGCGAGACTTGGCCATCGTCGGACTTTTATCTTATCGATTTGGCAATACACCGAGCGGTTGGTAGTAATCTTGAGCACTCATAGATGGCGCCATGAGGCCTCACCTAGGTGGCGCGCGCCACAGTCGGAGCCGCAGTGCATCCATTCATCCATTCATTCATTTAAAAAGTATGGCGCTTTCCCTGAAAGCTGGCTCAAACAAACGTCTGTATTGAAGCCCGGAAAATACTGTCATATGGCGGAAAAGCCATTCCCACGAAACATTTGGCGGGAAGTGAATGTTTTATTGTGATTTCAGCTTGATGGCATATTCCGCGATATTTGAGGTACTTTAAAGGGACACTGACACCCCCCAAAAAATATTTTTCATTTTTTGCCAGGCGCTTCATTATGGTGTCGGAGGACTACCCAATTAATATTTTGCAACAGAGTAGCGTATTTTTTTAATAAAGCCAAAAGACGCAACTGCTCGAAACCGAAACCGAAACCCGACGGAGGTCGGAGAAGTGGAGAGAAGAGAGTGGAGTGGCGGAAGTCACGTGGCTACACCCGACCGTGTTTTTTTTTTTTTTTTTTTTTTTTCTCCTTCTTGTAGCAGACGACATGCGGCGTACGGGAACTGCTCGCCGTGGGATTCTTTTGCAGTTATGTATGTTCCGCTCGTTGTTCTGTACTCCAAGATGAGTTGTTTTGTACATTGAGGAGTTGGAGATGAGTAGTGAGTGCCCGTGGTGAATTTTGATCGGCTCCGAAAAGAATACACCCAAGATGTTGCGTGAAGAGCTGGCTCACATGTCCTGCGTCCGAAACAGAAGTGGCATTGTGCGACAGAGTTTCCGAAAGATCAACGGGATCGGGACCAATGGCTGGCTGCATTTCCTGTAGACCATTTACGGGCACCTCGGAAAGCGGACGCTACCTGATTTATATGCTCCTTGCATTTTGTGGAAAGTGATTACATTGAGTTCGCAGGTGTCAAAAAGGAAATCCCATACCATTTAATTCAGCGACGTGTCGGCCACAACATTTGTTTCTTATTTTTTTTTGTTTCTTCAGTAATAATTGTTAAAAAAAAAAAGAAATGTAAACATCAGAAAATATTATTAAAAAAAGTTTCACAGGGGATCGAACCCGGTCCTACCGCGTGTGAAGCGGACGTCTTACCCACTGAACTACTGGGGCATGTCGATACTGGGGGATCTCTTTCCTTAGTAACAATTCAGCCGATAAACTGTAAGTTGGAAAGTTTGCTGCCGATTTTTCTCTAGCAAAAGCACTCCAGGGTCGAAGTCCGGATGCACCACGCATTGGCGACATTCTCACCTAGTAAAGAAATCGTACGCGTGCATATTCAACTCGAAGTAGACACGTCGCGCTTGACGTTTGCGCGAGCGATGTCTTCAGCCACAAGAAGGGAGTGACGGCTCGGAGACGTCTTCGTGCAAATCGGCTTGGTGGTCGGGCGTGTCGTAAGGCATGAATACCAATTCTTTTGAACAGTCCCAAATTTCTCTTTTAAAGGCGGACAAAATTCGCCGGTACCGCGAACGACAGTTCTGAAATAGAGGTCCCACGCCCGTCGTCCGCTGCCATCGCCGTCCCTGCGAGTCCCACGATACGCGAAACGACGCACGCACAGAATGCTTCCGGTTGTCTGTGGAACTTTTTTTTCAATCAACGTATTTGCAGGTTTTTAGAAGCCACAAAAAATGGGTTTCATATTTTTTTCTATTTTTAATATTGAGTGTGTCCCTTCAGTGACCCACGACTTTGATTAAATTTGGTGGTCGCATCGATACCTTAGAAAACGGCCCGTGACCGCGGAAAAGAGAGTGAGCGAGACTCGAACCGGCCAGTTCTTGATCGGCGGTTTTCGGGCGGAAAGAAACCGAATTTCGAGCCGCAAATTCTGTTCTGGGTAGTTGAGCTCTCATATGTCACGTACAACTAAAAACCTCGGCGAGCATAAATACCCTGTCAGTGTCCCTTTAAGGTAATTTGATCAAGTATCGCTGCAGGCTGCACATTTAGACCGCTATTCGAAGACGTTTGAGTTTGAACGTAAGTTATA